TTAACTTAACATAATGATGTCTTTTTGTAGCTGAATACAGCTATAAGATTTGGATTACCCTTGACTTCACATTATGCAGGGTGTAAACTAAATGACCGAGACGAATTTTCTTAAACTAGGTTAACCACATAACTTTTGTTAATCGATAAAACCAACAATCTCAACAAGCTTATTCAACGGTTCGTTTATCCTTAACTTAGCGAGCGAAAAAGGCAAACAGTTGAAAGTTAATTACCCAGTGCATTAAAGTCAAGAGCAATTTAATTCCTTGGCCGCCAATTTTCATTAGGGCCCAGCTTGGCCCGACAATGGCACACTTGGACCGTCTCCAAGGGACAATGCATGCCTGCGGATGCTCTGCTCAGACTGAGGGTGAACTATTTGAATTGACTCATATTTCCTTCGAGGTATTTAATTGGTGCATCTTGAGAATGCTAGATTTAGCTATAAATTAATCATTCAGACTATGACGATCAGAAATAAATTGATGTATGGATTACCGTGTGTGATTGGGGTATAGAATTTATAGATGGTTATGTCAGTGGTTATCCACAGCATATGTGTTTACATGTGATTAGGTTAGTCAGATGCTTGTTAACAGGAAGGTGTTGATTAAATTTAACATCCAATTTAATCTAATTGAGTACTTGTCTGCTCCCAATTATAGTATAAGTAGAGCTAGATAACTCAGGATAGGTTTCAGGATACATCATTTGAGTGCCTAAAGCGGCTAGTCTCTTACGTTTGTAAAAAGGGTGCAAAATAAATCTGATCTGATGTGATGTAAATTTTACAGTATATTGTATATTTTCTTATTTACCCAACTAAACCAGTAAAAGAGATGAAATACAAAGCTCACATGCGAAAGTAAATCAAGTCGATGCGTCTCTGCTATCGAAAATGTTCAGTTTTATGTGCCTTTGTTTAAATAATGGCGCAATAAGCTGAATCGATGTCCTAAATACTTGAAAGCAATACAGCAAGGAATTTTAAAGCAAACCTCGTGGATTTTTTTCGTGGAATTTGATATTCGTCCGATCGCCACGGAACTAACAAAATTCGCGAAAGGGTTTTAGTGCTGGTGAACTATCGATAGTTTGAAATCGATAATAATTGACTTAGAAAAACCAGAACATTGAATCAATAAATACACATGCTATGATAGCGATAGCATTGATGCTGATGACTTTTAGTATGTATTCCTTAATAGTAGTAGTTTAACTTAATGTCAAGTATTAGTATAGGTAATACGTATGATACGAATAATCTAATATCATAAACGCAAATGTATTTTTTACTTTTTCTTTGTAATAGTAGGGTTACTTTTTAGTTTTATTACAGTATCGATAAACAATGGACAGTTTCACGATCGCTCTACAACACTACGGCCCGATGTCCCTTCACGGCTTAATTCGGAAAAACCGAGAGATTGCTGGAACTTTATGTACTGTTTGCGAAGACCGGCGATGTTTCAACCCTTCCATAGTAAACTCAGTCGACCGCCAATTTTTCACGAAGCTCCTCGGAAGCTGTGTATTAGTCCGCAACGCAGTTTACGATGGAAATTTTGGGAGAATATCCAGGAATATGCCCGAAATGTTCATCCCATAAATTGTGAAAGTGCGGTGTATAATAATTTTGACGCGTGAAAAATGATGTTGTCATTCATGATTTCTTTGATCTTTTGATACGTGATCATCAAATTGGGATCATGGACCTATAAAAAAAGGCGGACGGAACTCGCGCTACAACAAAACTGTGACGCAAAATTTTGGCGTTTGTCTATTGTGTGAGTGAATTTAGGGATGCCATGTTAGCCAAAACATTTTACCCATTTATTTTAAGAAAAACATAGATCGGCAGATGTTACTTGGAAATGTAGACAGAATTATTCCGTGCCATTTTAAAAGGATGAAAGGTGCGTTGAGGTAGGCGCGAAATTTTCAATGTTCAAATTTTCTTACATTGTTTGCAAGTCAGTGTGTCAGGGTATGTAGTTATGTACATAATGTTGATCAAAAATGATTCACGCAGTTACAAATTACGAATCTTGTGTACATTATAATCATAATCTTATGCATCATCAATATATTATTATTATCTCTGATAGATTTTTTTTAACATACAACCTGACACTGACTTGCAATCAATGTAAGAAAATTTGAATTTCGCAGTTCCACATTTTTGGGAAGGATCAAATTTGCCTATGAAAATATATCCCATTAAAACACAATTATTATGATAAATTATTTTATTTCCATAGTATGCGTAATAAATAACTAAAAAGTCCTAAAATTATTATTAATTTCCCATATTTCGGGTAATTTTCCCACGTAAATAACTGAGAACACTGGTCTTTGACGTATTATTTTTTCGAGTGAATGACGTTTGATTTCAATTAATTTCAATATTTTAATGTCGGGAAATAAGTGATTGGATTATTATTTTGCCTGTGAAATGTGATTCCTTAATTTTTGTTTGTTCGAACAGAACGGTTTTTACACAATTTCATCACACAAGACATGTCGAATTCGTGTTGTTTTTTCGCTGCTTAAATGTGTCAACTGTGTGAAGTTTGCACTCGAAGTGGTGTAACAGGGTGTGAATGTGTGCGTGCCGGCCTGTACGTACAGGCAAGCTGGTGTATCCTAATGTCACAGTATTTTGTTGATGAGAATCCGTCCGACTTTTTTTATAGGTCCATGATTGGGATAATATTTTAAGGCCACATTGTCGTATTACTTTCTATGGAATAAACCTTTTGCCTTTCTGTGTACAAACCATTTTCGTACGGTCACTTAACTTCGTGGAATTACTCAATGATGTTTCTATAGAATATACGGTGTTATACTCGTATGAAGAAAATTCCTGAAACTGATAGCATGTCCTGTCCGTTGTTGTTGATATTAATACAAAATAACGAGTATACGACTTATCGTAGAATCAAATTATGCTTTATTAAAAGCAAACTTAAAAGTTCGTTCGTTCGTTTCAGCCAAATGACGTCCAACAAAGGCCTCCCCCAAGGTTTTCCATAATGAACGGTCCTGCGCTGCCCGCATCCAGGCTCTTCCCGCGACCTTTGCCAGATCGTCGGTCAACCTACTAAACTTAAAAGTAGTCTTACTAATATGATTAATCAAGCAGATATTTTATTTCCTTCGATAACGCCGTCAGTACCAGAGTTTTCATAAATTGGGTAATTCGTCCGATGATGCAGTACGTGATCGTCTTGACTCTAGCATATTATGTAGATATTTATGAAAAATGAACCAACTTCCCAGCTTTTCACTGTGTCTGTACATACTGCCTTCGTTTGTATGAATTTTCGCAGCGGGAGATTAATTTAACGCCTTGATGCGTCGCTAAGCCTGGTTCCGAGGAAGGCCGCCTCTAAAAAGGCATGCCTATTTTCCCTGGGAAGTCCAACGGCTAAAGTGTCCTCGTGTTATCCTTTTCATTTTGGGGAGCTTTTTGCAGGGTTTTAAGAAGTCAGGATTTATAAAGAGGAACGATATTGGAGGGTAGATTGTACAGACACGATTTGTACGTGATATTTTAAGAAATACATTGAGTTGTTCGTTGATGAAATAAAGTTACTGAGGCAAAGACAACTCAAGTGTTGCGTGGTTTGTGTATTTTGACGTGGGTCGTAGCCTGACAACAGCTTTGGCTGTTACAGAAATTAACTTCTATGGCTTCAAACTTGTTTTCGTTCGTCATCTTTGATTACGTAATAGACAGAATAATATATGGTACAGTCCGTGCCAATAGAAATCTTTCTAGACAGACTTCCAAGGGCACTGAATTGTTTATGAGTCTAGCTATGTGAACAAAGCTGTATTTGATGGCAACGTAAATATGTATTGAGAATATTGAGATCACTGAGACAGTTCTATCTCTTTCAGTATAAATATTTACGTCTTATTTAGGTATAAGATTGCTAAATTCATACATTATTTTTATGTTACCCCCTTTTACTAATAAAAAGTTACACGCATGTTCAACAACAGTTTAAAAAATGACATTTCTGATAAGTCCTAAACGCGGGTGGAACTTTAATGAGTAAGGGGGTAAGTTACCTATTTAGTAAATTATTTACCAGGTCTCATACTGGTTAATATCATTCTACATTTGGCCACATGAGTAAAGAAACAGAACAGAGACAAAGCTTCTAAGTAAGATGTGATTTTCTTACCTATTTTAGTAGGGTTGGTAATTTTGAAATGAGTTAATATTTATGTTACCTATTCATGTGAGAAAGAGTGGTTCCTCTCAATTCAGGTTACCTAATAAGTGTCAATAAAATATTTTTCTATTTCTATTTTTTTTTTCTAAATGATTTACTCCACTGCGATTCTAATTTGTTAGTCAGATACGCTCGCTAATAAAACAAAGGATTTAAAAAATGTCCATAACAATTTCTAATCCACTTATGCTGAGGAAGCAGCCAGTGTGATATAATCCGACGTCCCAAACGCCGGGACGTGTCCCGGAATTCCTGACAAATGATCACCCTCAAAGTTTCAAATTACAACTGCGGACCCTTAACATTTTGCTTTTAGTTCTCTCTGAAATATTACACGCAATTATTCGTCCGATTCCTAAATTGCTTCGGTAATTAAAACAACTACGCCCACTCGGTGACTTCTTATTTCTTGGGGGCTAAAAATGTGAGATCCTAAGATAAGACTGAGGTGTTTAGGTAATTACTTATTAGCTTAGTAATATTTATCTAGGTTTATTAAAGTATGGGAAAAAATAGCAAAACTTTGCTATTGTCTTTCTAGTTAATTGTTTGCATCATCTGTTCTGCTATTGATACCTAGGTACTTTAATATTTGTCATAGAAGGAGCAACACCACGACAGTTACTGTTTATCGCTACCTCGGTACCGATCAACATGGAAATCATTGGAGGAGGCCTATGTTCAGCAGTGGACGTCCTTATGGTTGAAATGATTCAAATCAAATCAAATCAAATATATTTATTTTGCGAACATGGGTATATGATAATCAGCTCAAAAGATTTTGCTCCCTACTACCTCTACTTAGGATCAAGACCTGCAGATTTTCAGAGAGGTTTTCATTTCAACATTAGCCGTGGTGATAGATCTAAACACTATTTATCTCATCTGTCTTCAATAACATTTATATTCATAATCTCGTATCAGTTGGTCAATTAATTAATTTTCTCATACACCCACATAGAACATACAATACAATAGAACGGTTTAGTAGACGAATGAGTCAGCTATTCCGTAGCTTTTAATTCAACCTTCAACGGGAAACCATATGATTAGTAGATAAAAGCCAAGCGAAGGGGTACATGGTTCTTCGTTTACCATGCTTAATTTATTAGGTCCAGACGGTAATTAGCTCGCGTTAACTGATAGCTAAGCCTGCTTATTAAAAGAACTGGCTACTAATTTATTTACAGTCGAAAATTACTAAGAACGGGTATAGGTAGGCTTGGAGTTTTTCGGTGGGAAATTCCCATCAAAAAGTGTAGGATCAACAGTAGAATGTTGTGTGGAGTTAAATCTTTAATCCTACTAATATTATAAATGCGAAAGTAACTCTGTCTGTCTGTCTTGCTTTCACGGCTAAACTACTGAACCGATGCGGCATACTGAATGATGCGGGCAGCGCAGGACCGTTCATTGTGGAAAACCTTGGGGGAGGCCTTTGTCCACCAGTGGATACAAAAAATGCAACGTCCACAGCTTCAGCTAACTGTTAATCACCAAGACCTCTTAAATAAAAACATTTTTTAAGTATGTTACTCTCGTAATTGAAGTTTTAAAAGCACCATCAGTGAATTATGAATATTGACGTAAAAAGAGTTAACTAGACGAAACCGCGCAAGTGGCTCGCAGACTGTTTAAATCGTGGAAGCAGGGAAATCCATTTGGGTTGGTAAAGTCCCGGATTCGCTGACGCACACCTAGGGCTGCCTCTATTGTGTAGGGAGTAAGGGATATATTAGTAAAAGTTTTAAGGTAACAAACCTTTATATTTTTTTGTTTTTTATGTATATTTTATATGACGTATGTAATAACGCAAACACTACCACCTTTAAATTATAAGTAGGTATTTAAAATGAGACAATTCTCATCTTTTGCTGTCACCGTTGCAACTCCTGTTTGGCCAGAATTACAGCTTGTAAATACTACGATAACAGATCTTGACACTAGCACAATTTATACTATGTATATTTTTGTAGAATATCACACATTAACTTCATAAAGTGACCACAGTCTTCAGTTTGCTATTTCTTCGTCAATAGACGAAACACCACAAGTACCAAAAATATTAGCAACGGCGATTTCGTGTTAGTCTAGTCCCGCACAATTTCTACAACGTTTTTTTCTCCCTAATATTTTTTCTACATTTTTCGTTAACCAAATTAATGGCCAAGGGTAACCTTTCAGATTTCAGATTGGATGCCATATATTTTCGGCTCCGATAACAGCCCACCCCGGGAATTTATATTAAAGCACATGAGGGATTATACCCAATTATGTGTTTTGTGGGTTAAATTCTGTACCCCCNTACAAATAGCGCACAATGGTCTAATCAAAAGGCTAAGTGCAATATTCGATTGCCCTGCAAAACTAACTACGAAAGGCCTTATGAATGGATACTATGTACAGTAGAACGCCGATTATCCGAACGCCGATTAACCGAATCGCCAATTATCCGAATCGCTCCTGAGCGTAATATAAAAAATTAAAACCAAGTAATTTTTAATTTTTTTGTTGGAATTCGGATATATTTCAACTGAGCGTTATTGTAGCAGTTCTACTATAACGCCAAATACAAATATATCTGTTTGTTAAACTAATTAAAGTTTATTCTATGTGTGACAGTTGGTTTTTCTCTAATACCAGTCTATGTCCGATTATCCGAATTTTCGATTATCCGAATCGACCCCGGTCCCAATTAATTCGGATAATCGGCGTTCTACTGTATAAAGTAAATAATTATGTAAATGGCATGTGTGGCTGGACTTTATCTGCTTAGCTCGCAAGTATAACATGTCTTGTTAACTCATGTCTCTATTGATTTAAGAAGATTCCCGCCTTAGGCAGTTCGATTTTTTCAAGTTATTTATGATTTAAGAAGAGGCTGACAAAGGTGGCTAAATTTCTTGCGCTGCTTCTTCTCAGCACTGGCCCATTTATGTCCCAAAATAAAAGTAGGGTTCAAGTAATACTAGGACGTGTTAAAGGGCTTTTTAAAAGCCTCTTTGTTGAAAACAAATGCATTTTATGACTTTACTTTTATATTATCCTTCTGTAGCGATTTTGTGAAAAATATTATTGGCAGGTAGTTGCTAATTGCTCATAAGATAGGCCCCCTTAATTTAATTTATTGTCCGTGGTGCATAATCTTTTTCTTAAAGGTTTTAAACCTTTGTTTGTCACCTGTCATCCGCTTTGCAATGGAGGGAAGTCGAACCTTAATTTCGAACTCCTCCTATGTTCTTCTGATTAATTTCGTTGCGGGTCCAATGACAGTTTAACTTTCCCCCGGGACAAACTTGNGTCCTCCGACTACGAGGGAACCGTCTCCGTGTGGGACGCGGCCACCGGCAGCGCTGCTGGTCCGTGCACTTCAACAGGTCGGTGCCGCTCCCGGCGGGTGACGTCACACGAGCACGTGCCGCGTCCTCCGACTACGAGGGGACGGTCTCCGTGCACACGTCGCTCCCGGTGTGTGAAATCACACGTGTGGTGGACATAAAGCCCACATCAATTTAAACTTTATGCTGTGAAAATACGGTTCAAAACAAACAACTTTTTTTGAGCCTGGTTAAACAACCAACCTTTGTTTCTGACTTTTAATTTTCAAGAGTAACTGACTGTTAACTGACTTTCCCTCTTCTGACCCTTATGAAGTGACTCTCCCCTTTTGGTCTGGATAAAGTGACTCTCCCCATTATATAATCTTTAACGTGATCCTCCCCTTTCTGATCTTTATAAAGTGACTCGCCTTTTGGTCTCGATAAAGTGACCCTTCCCCTTCTAGTATCTTCACTCCTCTTTCTGGTCTTTATAAAGTGACTCTCCCCTTTTGGTCTCGATAAAGTGACTCTTCCTTTTGATCTCGATAAAGTGACTCTCCCTCTTCTAGTATGTTTAAAGTGACCCTCCCCTTTCTGGTCTTCATAAAGTGATTCCCCTTTTGGTCTCGATAATATGACTCGCCTTTTGGTCTCGATAAAGTGACCCTCCCCTTTCTGGTTTATATAAAGTGACTCTCCCCTTTTGGTTTCGATAAAGTGACTCCACCTTCTAGCATCTTTAAAGTGACCCTCCCCTTTCTGGTTTTTATAAAATGACTCACCTTTTTGGTCTCGATAAAGTGACTCTCCTTTTTCTTTTCAGTACTTGCCACATGTTTTTCTCGAAGCGCTAGTAGGGCTTAAAAGATAAGGAGACATGTAAAGTGCCTCTTAAGGGCTACCTTTTTATATCACTGTATTTGTGACGTTCATAAGTGCCACCAGTAGTCAAAATTGAATAAAATAATTTTTGATTTTGTGCGCAGGGCGGACGTGCGTCTGCTGGCGTCGGGCTCGGACGACGCGCGCGTGAAGCTGTGGGCGCTCAACGCGGAGCGGTCGGTGGCCACGCTCGAGGCCAAGTTCAACGTGTGCTGCGTGCGCTTCAACCCGCGCTCCTCCTGCCACCTCGCCTTCGGCTCCGCGGACCACTGCGTGCACTACTACGACCTGCGCGCGCCGCNATCTCTAATAGCGATGAAGCAGGATTTTTTTTAACTTCAAATGCGATTTCCCAAAAATCACCATTTTCGACTTAACTCCCTTTTCACTGGGGGTACAGAATTATTCGTGGTTTGTTGCGTTCCGCAAATTGGGCTGGAAGGTAAAGGGAAATCATCGCTGAAAGGAATTAACTACCCTTTACCATACTTACTTATATAAACTAATCCCGGAATTTTCCTTAATAGCCTATTATTAAATTACACGATTTTTTTTCATCGTGTACCTAATTTAATAATACGTGGTAATATTTTGAAAAACTTTTATTAATTGTAAAAATCACGAAAGTGGAAAGCACATGCATGCGAAAAGCCTAAGACTGGTCTTTAAAGAAACCTTTGGAGGAGACCTTTGTCCAGCAGTGGCAGACAGTTGAAACGAAAACGTTATTGTTTTATGATGATACTTTTTTCTTTTGATAACATATTTTTCTATTTTGCACGTATCATTCATTCATTCCCTTTGTTGCCCACCACCAATTAATTAGAGAAAATGCTACAAAATCCCTTGTTTAACTAGTTAATTTGTGGCAGCCCTGCAGGGCCGGCAGACCTGACGCAGGCTGATTACGAACTTCGCGGAATGATGCCGACAAAGATTTTTTAATGAATATTAATTCGTTTCAAGTAAAACAAAGTTTACTCTCGCCACGAATCGGTAATTGCCTCGCTTTCAGCCTCTTGATCAGTGACTGACGTAAAAACTTAAAAGGTGTAAAAGGTATATTACTTTGGAATAATTAAGGGGAGTTGCACCATCTTACTTCAACTTTAACAAACGTCAAAAATCTGTGAAACCCCATACAAAATACACTGGTTATTGTTATAGTTACGGTCAAAGTTAGTTGGTGCAACTCAGCCTTAGCGTCACTGACAACAATATGTTTTTAACGCGCTCACTAGTGACGATATTTGATGTAAACTCACACTCCCTTTGAGCGGCAGCATAGCGTAGCGTAGCGGATATTGTGCAGGTGTACACCAAGGACCTCTCAAGCGATCTTCGGCGGGGGGAGACGTAAATCACGAAGCTCTAAAGTGATCTGCGGCGGCTCCCGCCGCAAATCACTTGTTCAAGTTCGGGACCCTGTCATTTAAAAAATATAGTTCTGTTTCTTTCGCACGAAAGTAATAATGCTTAAGTATGAATGTGATAGCTATATTTTCTAGGCACTATGGTTGCTTTTCAACGAAATTTTTCTTAGTCTGTGTTTGAAGATGACGCGCTCCGCGGCGCCCGTCTGGGTAGTGATAAAGATGGATGTTTTTTGTCGTTTAGATGCTTTGGAAGTGTGTTTTTCTTTATAAAAAACGTGTATAATGTGATTAACTTTGGAAATAAGTGTTAATATACACCACTAAATTTTTATCACCAAAAAAATTTAAACAGGTTATGTAGAAACGTGTGGAATATTGAAAGCAAAAGAAAAAGAAATGGTTTTCATGAAGTTAATTTTTTTATTAAATTTTCGTTAATCCGTATTTCACGCGTCACAGCTGGGTCACTCCGCTGCTCGCTAGAGTAGTCGTACGCGCTCGCATATTGCCTCGATCTGTCTGTCTCGCTCACGCCTCGACCACGCTTCCAGTGTTATTATTACATACTTAGCCAACTTAGACCATTTTGAATTCTAATAAGTGTTACATTAGCGTACGTAAATAGTGCTCGCGACGCGTGTGTCAATAAATTACCAATTTTAGGAGGATATTTTGAGTCGCTTTATTTTACTCTTTTTTTTGCACAAATGGGATCAGTATCAATAACTCATTACCCAGAATTTTTTTTTTCGGTGATTAAAATTTAGTGGTGTATAACATTGCTTTTAATTTTGAAGGTGAATCAAGTGCCATCACAAAAAGTGACAAAAATGACGAATCTTTTTCATTCAAGTAAGTTTTGTACCTAAAATATATATTTGTTAGCCTTAAAAGTTACACCACAAGACGGGTAATTTTATCCAGATTCCAAAAATGTGATTCGATAGTATGTAACGGTAATAATGATAAGCTATTTTAGGGAAAATGCGAACAGGATTTTTTTTTATTCCCGCGGGAAGGGGGGGGCACTTCACGCATTAGCGCCTTCCCGCGGCAGATCGCTTGAGGGGCTAAGTACGCGTCTAGAACGCTTCGCCACCGTGGACAGTGTCATTAATGGTGTACAAAAGGTATCTTACTTCTGAATAACTGTTTGAAAATTGACTTGGTACTGAAATATTGATCATACGCCCAATTTATAAGCTTGGGAAATTCGTTTTATGTGATCCACCTGTCGATGTTTATGTTTTTCTTCGAGTTTTATATTATTCTAGAGCCTTCGAAGACGAGTATGTTCGAGTAGGATGATGTGGAGTTATAAAGACTAAGTAAGTACGTAATTTACTACGCTCATAATGTTCTTGTATAAGTAACTTACAAATTCATACAACTCAAAAGCCTTGAGAACTAGAGTAATAAAGGTACTTACATTTAACTTCTTCGACTAAGAATACTACTTTACTTAGGCTTAGTTGCACCATCTAACTTTAACAAACGTCAAAAAGCACCCGTTACCGTTACAGTTACGGTTAAAGTTAGGTGGTGCAACTCAGCCTTAAATAGTTTGCTTGTAAGTTTAAAGGTCATTCGTTAAATATGAAATCAGTACTCCAGTATTTTTAACGACCGTAAAATAAAGTTGTATTATTATAAAAAAATAAAGACCATAAAAAATTATTCGTACTGTTCTATTTATGTCTGGCTTTAAAAAAAGGGTTTAAACATCCCCTCTACGTAATCCGTCCGAATCCTTTTACGACATTCCACTCAGGATTTCATTTTAATGTCCATTAAATTGCCTTTTAACACAACTAGACTGGGCTCCAAACTTTAAAGTCCTGCTATCTTTTAAATATCCCATTCTCGGACTCACCCGTCGACGTCTTACGGATTAAAAATACCTGCAAACTTCGTGGAGTTAGACCAGATTGGATGCAAATCTTGTAATCGTTGAGCCAGTACTGCGAGAAATAAAATTAATATACCTACAATACACTACGCCAAAAGTAAGTAAAGCTTGTACTATAGGTACCAGACATTCCAGACACATATGCATTCATACTTTTTTTTGGAAATTATGTACAATTATTTATACAAAACCCTCAGTCCAATGCAAACAGTAACAGTCCGTAAACGAACTAAAGTCGCTGACATAGCCCGACGGATCAGCAAGCTGAAGTGGCAGTGGGCAGGGCACATACTTAGTACTCAGAACTGACGGCCGATGGGGCAGCAAGGTTCTGGAATGGAGGCCACGTACCGGAAAACGCAGCGTGGGACGGCCACCCACAAGGTGGACCGACGACCTGATAAAGGTAGCAGGAAGGCGCTGGATGCAGGCCGCTACCAACCGTGCGATGTGGAAGTCATTGGGGGAGGCCTATGTTCAGCAGTGGACGTCCTGTGGCTGAAATGATGATGATAAATGCAAACAGACTGATATGTATATAGATACACAAATGCTTGCATTGAGCGGGAATAGACCCCGCGACCTCTGGCTTGTAGCTCGGTACGTGAAAAATTACACAAAAACGGCCGTCAATATCTAAAGTTCACTGAACTTCCCATATCTGGGTGAGGACTAAGATCGCTTTCACATTAGGGCGTTACATTTCACATTATAAAAACACCGCTGAGTGCTGCGCCGTCATATAGTATTATACCATTATCGACAGCGCGTCTGTAGCGCGTATGTCGCTAAAGTCACCTAAATGTGAAAGCGCTCTAAGGATTGACACCCCACTGTTGTTTGCCCTACGATCGGGACCCGCAAAGTCGTTTGTAAGAAATGAATCAAATCTGTCACAAAGAAAGCATGGGGTGAGCGCTATGACAAGTCGACAGCCCGCCTCCCTTTAATTAGCAACTTGACATCCCTAATAAGAGATAATAAAATCATTTCTATCCGAGCTGCCTCGACGGAATAGAAAATGTTCAACTAAATCATTTGATAATTCGGTTTTAAGACGGAGCTCCACAATTACCATAGTAAGAAATGGTACGCCAATTTACTTATACAGAGAGATTAATTTAATTTGCCAAAATTAGTGGAAAAATGCGCCAATTTATTTATAATGTAAGTACTTATTTAATGCTTAATTGTTTTATTTTACTGCTTACAAATAAGAGTATTTTGATTCTTTATGCAGCAAAAGGTGCCCATTTGACCGAAATCACACTTCATGATAAGTACCTATGTGTAGATGCAGTCTACATACCTGCCAAGTAAATGCCTACAAAACTTTTCTGATATCCATTCTTTTCAGTATCTTGTCCTGAATATTTTCCATTGCAGCCAACCTCATAAAAATCAATTAAAAGAGCATCGAACTTAAGAGCGAGTTTAAAACTATGCTTCAATGGAATCCTATTCAGAACGAATTGAATAGGTCCGAGGAAAATGCAGTGAGGAAGACGGAACTGAAAATATGACTGGTCGTAACATTGAAAGACTTCGCAGTGGCGTTTTAAAAAGAAAGTAAGACAAAATAAGCTCGAGGGTTAGCTTAGCTACCGCTTCTTGTTCTTAATTGGGTACTCAGTACTTTTAACGTCAGCTCATAATTTATTTCTGTTGGATTTTTTTGATGTTGCCATGATTTGTTTCACTTCGCGGTTATTATGTTTTATTTAACGACTAGGCTTTGTAATTAATTTTGGATTTATTGTACACTCGGTTGATTGCTGTCAAGTTAATGTAGTTCTCAAGTAACATTTGTGTACATTTACCCAATTAGGTGTACGGTGACTTCACAAATGTAACGTGAGAAGATTCGCGTTGAAATCTATACTAATATTACAAATGCGAAAGTAACTCTGTCAGTCTGTCTGTCTGTCTCTCTTTCACGCCCTAACCACTGAACCGATTTTGATAAAATTTGGCATGGAGATAGTTTGAGTCCCGGGAAAGGACATAGGATAGTTTTTATCCCGGTTTCTGAAACAGGGACGCGCGCGATA